TGGCTCTGGGAAGCAGAGCTGCACCACGCATGGCACTCCTTGCACTGCATGGCTGCGCTGTCGCCAGCTCCCCGCAGCTCCTGCCCAGGGCTCAGCTCTTCCCAGGGCTGACAGTTCTGGGGCTGGAAGCATTTCTGGGGTCAGAGCCATGTGCAGCCAGGCTTGGAGAAGGCAGACGGCCAGCACACACACACCCCTCTGAGGGTGTGGCCTGGGAATGGCACCAGGATGGGCCCACTTTACATCTGGCCACAGCTGTGGCCCCATCACCCACACCCCCTGCCCCATAGGCACAGCCACTGTGCTGCAGCCACAGTGGTGAGGGAACTGCTGCATCCCCCGTGGTCACAGGAGCAGAGGGACACAAACACCGCTCCCTCCCATGTGAGACCTCTCTGAAACAAAGAGAGGTCACCACCGGCCCGTTACCCCAGCCACCACCTCACCCAGCTTATGGGAAAAGGGAAGGAAATCCAGCTTCTGAAAAAAAAGCCTGATGAAATCCCCCCAGTGTGACCCTCTCTGGCTGCACACCCCACTCCACCCGGGGAGCTCCATGGCACACAAGGCACAGCTGTAGAGCTGGGGCTCAGCTGCAACCCCAGAGCACGGATGTCACCAGAGCCACCGCAGACGGTTCTGTCGCAATCCAGGGCTGGGCACTAAGGGCTGCACTGGGGCCTGCCCAGGACCTGGACGCTGTCCCGGGGCCGGGAGCACCCTGTGGTGGCGGTCCCTTGCCACCAGGTGCCACTGCCGAAACACTCGCACCACACCTGCTGCAGCTCAGTCAACGCTTTACAGGAGAGCCCGGGGCCAAGGACAGAGCCGGGAGCGCTGCCTGACATCCCTCAGGGACCCGAGCTAGGAGCAGGCTAGCAGGGCCTGCCCACACGCCTCCGCTCGCTCCAATGTCTGTTAAATAAACTCAATGCCCTCGTACTTGACGCTCCCGATCCTGGTCTCGGGCAGCAGGAAGCGCCCGTCCAGCGTGAAGGCCATGATGTAGCTGGAGATTTTGCCGTTGTCCTCCTCCGACTTCAGCGCCACGATGATCTGGTCGTCGGTGTCCGGGATGAACTTGAAGGAGGAGAAGCCGTGGGTGGGCACCACGTCGCCCACGCGGCCCACGGTGACGTGGCCGAAGTCCTGCGTGGAGCTGAGCAGCAGGTTGGTGCCGCGCCGCTCGTCCGCGCGCTCGCTGTAGCGCTCGTGGCTGGCGCGGCGCGGCAGGAAGAACCAGCGCTGCAGCGTGTCGCTCCACGAGGCCGACTCGTGGATCAGGTACCCTGGGCAGGAAGGGCAGCGTGACCACACGGGCCACGGCCACGCTGGGGCGGGACCCTCCCCATGCCAGCCCCATCCCCTCCAAAACACCCCACAGCCCACACAGGCATCCCCCATGAACCCTTCCCCCTGCTCCTGCCCCACTGCCTGGCAGCAGCCCCCCAGTTCCACCCAGAGCCAGGCAGGGGCACCCAGCACACCCCACTCTGCCCAGGGTTACAGCTGCCAGGCCCAGTGCCAGCTGAGCCACCTCTCAGCTGCTCCTGGCACAGGCAGCAGACAAAAAGGACCAGGACAAGGGGAGATCTCTGCCCTCCAACAGCCTTTAAATCTCCCCCAGTGCCACTGTCCCCAAGGAGGGTGACTGTATGGCTCTGGAGCCATTCAGAGTGTGGGATATAGGGTGGCAGGAGGTTGTCCTGCTCCATACCTGGGGGCTGGATCCCTGCTGCAGCCCTCAGAGCGTTGTAATTTGTCACCCAGTTCTCGTGGCTCACATCACCCTTGTAGCCAATGACCTTCACCCACTGGGGGTTCTCGTTCACCACTTCCCCTGTCGTGGTGGTCCACTCCTTGCCCAGTCCTCCCACGTACAGGTGCTCATCCTTCACTGCCAGCCACTCCGCCTTGAAGCCTGTGGTGGAAAGAATGGCATGAGGGGGGCTCGGTCAGCACGTGGCCACCAGACTGTCCCACATGCCCCACACCCTTCACCCCTGAGCCCGCTGCTGGACACAGCGTCCCCACACAGCCAGCTGGTCTCTCGGCAGGAACTGCCCTCTCCTGGCCAGGCCCAGAGGTCACAGCAAAGGTGCACCCCACCCCAGCAAGGTGAAAAGAGCCAAGGGCTTCACAGGGCAGGAGGGGAGCTCACCTTTGCCCACGGTGCCATCCCCATCCGGGAGGATCACCCACGGCACCACCTTGTTGCCCTCGATCTGGTAGACCACACCTGTCCTGTCGTCCACCGCGTACAGCTTCCCGTTGAAAACCACCAGCTCCGAGAGCTCCATGCCCCGGCCCTTCTCAGCCAGGTGGGACTGCAGCGTGCTCTCGTCCTTGTCCCACTCCACCGTCACTCTGTCCCCACTGTCCGACAGTACCAGGTAGCCCTTCTTCAGGTAACTGAACCAGGTGTGCTCCTGGGGGCCGCGGGACCGCGTGTCCAGGTCAGCGATGAGGCCGATGCGGTAGCGCACGCCCTCGGGGTTGCGCTGCGGCGGGGACAGCGGGTACGTGTCGTTGTAGCGCTGCCCCGCGCGCAGGCCGAGCCGCCACGTGCGAGGGCTGGGGGGGCCATGCCGCGCCGGGGAGGAGCGGTGCAGGCACAGCAGCAGCAGCAGGAGCCCCACGCAGGCCGAGGACAGCACGATGGCCCTCCAGCGCAGTCGGAAGCGGGGGTCAGCGCCCTTGGTCATGGACGCGAGCACGGGCAGACCTCCCACGCTGATCCGCAGCGGGCTCATAGACTCATGGCAGGGCGGCACTGGCATCAGACAGGGCGCGAGCAGAGCCTGCTGCAAAGGCAGGGGGAGAAGGTCAAAGAGCTGGATTTGGTGCTGACTGAGCTCGGGGGACAGCAGAACACAGCCACGAGGGGCCCGTCCCCTCTCCTGCAGCAGAAGGTGCTCCCAGCTCATGCAGGTAAGAGCCACCGTGCCCAGGGGCTGCTGTTTGCTGCTGGAACCACCCTCAGCCCCCATCACCTGGCTCCCTCTGTGGCCCCTGACCAGGGGCCCCAGCGTGTTGGCAGGATTGCCCGGCCTGCCTGGCAGCTCTATCTGTGCCATGGTCTCTGCAGCTCAGGCAGTGAGCTGAGGCACCTGGCTCAAGGTGAGCCCTGTGTCACAGTGTCCTGGGAGGATGTGGGTTCCTCTCGGGTGGCAAGGATGACCCTTGCTGCCTCCAGAGCGGTCGAGCAGCCAGGCCCAGCTCCCACAGCCTTGAGAACCGACCCCACTGATGAGCCGTGAGCTTATCCCCAAGCCACACAGGGACACTAGGACACGTGGCAGCTCCGCCCAACCAGGATGCCGACACCTGAGCAGGAAGCAGAGTGCCCAAGGGACACACACCCTGCCCAGTTTCAAAGACATGGGACCCCCTCAGCCCTGCCCAGGACACAGCGTGTCCTCCACATGCGGGCATTGTGAGCCCACCCTGGGGTGTGCCCACCCGCGGGCCCGGGATGCCAGCAGTGCCCCTCGGTGCCACCTCCCTCCCTGCAGCACAGGGGACGTGGCAGCGCCCCGGGCTCCTGCAGACGGGCACTCCGGGCTGCCCAGGTGGCCAGCAGCCACCACTGGAGACGTGCTGAGCCCGTGCCATGCAGCCCGGGGCAGAGATCCCCATCCTGGGACAGAGACCCCCAAACTGGGGCAGAGATCCCCATCCCGGGGCAGAGATCCCATCCCGGGGCAGACACCCCTATTCCGGGGCAGAGATCCCCAGCCGCCATCGCAGGGCTCCCACAGAGGGCCACGCCGCAGGGTCTCAATGTGCCTTTCAGCAGCCGGGGTGGCGAACAGAGGCGGCATTGAGCGTGGGGGGCCGGCCCGGGCAGGGGAGCTGCGGCACAGGCACGGAGCCCGCGGCGGGGGCACGGGAGCGCCTCTGCTCCCGCCGGGATCCCGGAGCGAGGGCCCCGGGGACCCTCTCGGTGCACTGAGCCCACCGCGCTTGTAGCCGGCTTTGAGCCACGGGGAACCCTCGGAACGGCGGGGCACGGTCACGGGGAGCCCCGGGCAGGGACACGGGACGCCCCTCTAAGGACACGGGCCCGCCTGCGCCCCTGGGACCCCCGCTCCCCCTCCCCGGCCGAGCTGCCGGGGCACCGCCCGCTCTGAACGGGGCCCTGAGGTCCCCCGCGCCCCCGGGACCCCCACCCCGAGGAGCCGCCGCTGCCGCCCGGGCAGGCTGCTGGAGGAGCGCGGTGCCCCCGCCCGGTGCGGACCCCCGCCGGCCCGGGCCCGCGCCCCCCGCCCGTGTCCCCGCTCACCGCGGCGCCGCCTCCCCGCGCGCAGCCGCCGCCGCCGCCGCCGCCTACAGCTCCCGGCGGCCCCGCGCGCCGCCGCCGCGCCTGGCAGCGGCCCGACCGCCCCGTCTGGCGCATAAACTACAGCTCCCAGGAGACCCCGCGGGTCACCGCGCCCCCACCGCCCCTCCCGCTGCTCCGCGGGGCCTGCCGGGAGCTGTGGTCCGCGCCGAGCAGGGCCCGCCGCAGCCGGGCGCCGCGCACTGGCGGCCGGAGCCCAGCGGCGGGGGCGGTGCGGGGCCCGAGCCGGCTCTGCGGCGTGGGCACATCCCGGCTGCCCGGTGGGCATGACCCCCTCGCTGCCCTGCTCCAGCCCGGAACACATTCTGTCCTTGTCTCCTTTGCCCCCTGTGTCCCGCCGCCACTCAGGCTGGGGAGCGGGGCAGAGCCAGCCCCGCGCCTTGGGGCCCGTGTGCGTGTCCGGCTGTCACGGGCCGCAGCCCGGTGGGGCCGTGCTGGCCGCGGTGCCCTCGGCGCTGGGAACGGCCTCGGCGCCGCCGGCACGGGGCAGGGTCCTGCGCCGGGGCCACCGGACCCTGCGGGATCCCGGGACCCGCGGCAGCTCCGGGGCGCCGCTGGCACGTGCCGCCTCTGCTCCCGGTGCGGCGGCCCGGAGCACGAACGGCTGCGGCGCCGGTCCCGGGAGCACGCATGGTTAAGGCAGCCGCGGGCGCACATCTGGCGGGGGAGGGCTGCGAGCCTCGTCCCGTGCCTCGCTGCCTCCTGCGCTTCCCAAAAGTGCATTTCCGCCCGGGCCGGGCGGGCAGAGGCGGCTCCGGAGCGGGAGGCAGCGTCGGCCGCGGGCAGGCTCTGCGCTGGCCCGGGCCATGCCCTAGGGCGGCAGAGGCAGCGCCGCGAGGGAGAAGCCGTGCCCCGGAGGTAGGTGTGGGGGCAGCTCTGGGAGCCCGACTGTCGCCCCGCAGCTGCAGGGGCCGTGCTCCCATCGCGGGCGATGCCGAGGCACCGGGGGCGGCTCCGCCTCGCCGAGCGCTCGGGTGTCCGGGCACACGCCCGGCCAGGGGGACCGGTCCCGGAGCGCCCCCGGCCGAGCCAGGCCCTTGCCCTGCCTGAGAAGGAGCAGGGGGGCCGCCCGGCTGAGCCTCACAGCAGCCTGGGGGCGCTGCAACTGTTCCAGCGTCACCAGCAGCACACGGGGGACCTGGCCCACCAGCACGACCCCAGGGGCACAGTGGTTCCGGCTGCTGCGCAGGGAAGTTTGTATCCACCACCCTAAACGGAGACGAGTGCAGGTGCTGCTGCCTCCACACTGCCCCGAGCCCCTCATCCCTCCCCTAGGGTTTGCTCCTAGTTCCATCCTAGTCTTCATCTCCATCTGGAAAGTATTTTGGGATGTTTTGACTTGCAGTCCCAAGGCTTCTGCAGCCACTGAGTTTACATCTCTGACTGCTCCTGGAGAGCAGCCAACCCCGAGGGAAAGCGCGTGTCCCTGGCAGGGCTGTGTGTGCCCGAGCGCAGGTGGGCACACAATGCCCAGCACACCTGCAGGGTGCCCGCTGGGGCCCGGCGATCCCCGTGTGCTGCTGGCAGCCCCTGCGAGCACCGCACACTCCCTCTGCTCCCCTCAGCCTGGGCAAGTGCTGCCTTCCACCATGGGAACTTCCTGCTGAAGGGTTTCTCCTGGTGCAGCAGCTCCCCGTGACGCTGCGCTCTCCCCAGGGCCGAGGCTGCTCCAGGTCCCACAGGAATGCCTGCTGTGATGGAGGGAAAGCCACAGGATTCCCAAACCCTGGCACGCTCCGTGCTGCACATCTGGCACAGCTGGCGGCCAGGCAGGCTGGGCAGAGCCAGGACAAGGCTGCCCCGGTGACACCTGCTCACCTGGCCCTGCCTGGCCTCTCCACGCTCCGTCCGTGGGTCCGCTTCTGCCCTGCCTCACCTGGCAAGACAGCGGGGTGAGGGACAGAGGCACCGGGAAGCGTGTGCCGGGGCCAGGCCCTTGGCCAGGGTTCCAGCAGCAGGAAAAGCCCTTTGGAGCCTTTCCCGATCCCTCCGCCCCTTCCCAGCTCCAGTGACTCACAATGCAGGCATCCGCCCCCGGCCTCGGCCGCCCTCCGCACCCGCTGCGGGATCACGCTGCTGCCTCGGACCCGCACCTGGGGACAATGGTGACAGCCACCGACCACCGACGGAGAGCAGGGGCTCACCAAAACCACAGGATTCTGCCCCAAAGTCCCTCAGGGCCTGGCAGAGCCGCAGGACAGAACACAGGGCTGAGAGGGCGCTTTGGGACCGGCGCTCCGGGATCGCGGCCAGGCCGGGCGGGCTTGGGGAGGGGACAGCGGCCACGGCCACACCCGTGTCCCCACCCAGGGAGGCACCTGGCTGAGATAGCAGCCTGGGCACGGCCATCCCCGTCCCGGCTCGGGGCCCGCTGCCGCGGGATGCCCACCCCTGTTTGGCCAAGGCTGTCCCGGTGCCACCGGGCCGAAGGGCGCGGCGCTGCGTGCCCGGCCCCACGTCTCCGGCAGATACGCTTCTGATAATGGAGGGAGGGGTCTCGAAGCGCCCGGGCTGGGCCACGGTGCCACCGCCACTGCAAATATTAGTTTTGGCCCCAGACAGGGTGTGGGCTCTCAGAAGGGTTTCGGCCAGCTCCCAGCTAGGGCTGCCAGCCCACATCCCCCTTTCTGGAGGAGTGGGTGTTGTCCCCTTGCTGGCAGCCCCCAGGGCACAGGAGCCCCTGGCAGGCGTGGGGTGCAGATGCCCTCTCTGGGCCAGGCTGGGGTCCCACACACAGGCAGGCTGCACCCTGACATTTGCCCCATGGAGCTCGCTGTAATTTTTCAGGTGCTGACATCCCAAATTCTGCTCCTGGGCGCCCATGGGAGGCAGCTGAAACCAGGCTGAGCAGGTGCAGCAGCACTTGGTCCAGGACTTGGCCGGCTCAGAGTCTGCTGCTGCTCTGCTCCACTCTCAGCTCCTGAGGTAATCCCATCTGCAGTATGTGCCAGGGCTCAGGGGCTGCACAGAGCCCAGGGCCCCTTGACTGCCCCACTGTGGGTCCCCACAGGTGCTCTCTGGGGTGACACTGTCCCACAGCCCAGCCAGAACCCGGGGGCTGTGCGGTGCACAGGTCCTGTCCCAGCTCGGGCCACGGCTGGGCTGGGAGTCTCCTCACTCCTGTCCCCCTCAGCTGTCCCTGGCACCTCCCAGGGCACTGCCAAGGCATGGAGGGGCTGTGGGTGCACGGTGTCCTGCTGATCTGCCTGCTGCCCTGCCCTGTGGGGAGCCAGACCAGCTCCATCCCTGACCAGCGATGGTGGACAGACCCCAGTGAGGCCCCATCCCAGCAGCATGCTGCCAGGTGAGGGGACCCCAGAGCCGGGTGCTCTGCAGCGGGGCCAGGGCAGCCCTGGCGCTGCAGAGGGCCCCTGTTCCCCTGTAGCTCCTGTTGTGCTCTGCTTTCTGCCTTGCCAGGGCCACACAGGAGCAGAAGGCTGATGGTGCCCAGGAGGGGCTGCCCCCACAGCCCCGCTGTGTCCGCTGCTGCCCCCCACCCGAAAAGCGCTTCTACCCCCAGTACCAGCCCGTGCCTCAGATCAACATGACCATCCTGAAAGGTGAGGGCTGGCACGACCCCAGGGCAGCGCTGAGCTGGGCTCACAGTGCCAGCTCCTGCACACGGGGAATGAGAAACGGGCTGTGCCAGTGGTCCTGTGCCCTGCACAGACAGAGGGCAGGAGCCACCCTGGGGTGTGAGCAGCCCCTGCTCTGGTGGCTTCTGGGCAGCAGCATCAGAGCCTGGGGAGGGCAGGGGCAGTACTGGTGGGTCCCTGCTCCCTCCATCCAGCCCTGGGGAAGGTGCTGGGTCCAGCTCTGGCCCCTGCCTGACAGCCCACCTGTCCCTGCTGCTCTGCCCAGGAGAGAAGGGGGACCGTGGCGAGCGTGGCATGCAGGGCAAGTTCGGCAAGACGGGGGTGGCCGGCAGCAGGGGCCACGCCGGGCCCAAGGGACAGAAGGGCAGCATGGGCGCCCCCGGGGAGCGCTGCAAGAGCCACTACGCCGCCTTCTCCGTGGGCCGCAAGAAACCCCTGCACAGCAACGACTACTACCAGACCCTCATCTTCGACACCGAGTTTGTCAACCTCTACGAACACTTCAACATGTTCACGGGCAAGTTCTACTGCTACATCCCCGGCATCTACTACTTCAGCCTCAACGTGCACACCTGGAACCAGAAGGAGACGTACCTGCACATCATGCGCAACGGGGCGGAGGTGGTGATCCTCTACGCCCAGGTGAGCGACCGCAGCATCATGCAGAGCCAGAGCGTCATGCTGGAGCTGAAGGAGCAGGACGAGGTCTGGGTGCGGCTCTACAAGGGTGAGCGTGAGAACGCCGTCTTCAGCGACGAGTACGACACCTACATCACCTTCAGCGGCCACCTCGTCAAGTACAGCGGGGACCCCTGAGCCCCCACACTCCTGCTGTGCCAGGCCAGGCGGCCGAGGGGCCCCTGTCCCTCTCAGCCCAGGAGTGCCACCCCCATTATGCTGTTAGTAACCTAGTGCCACTACGCCCAGCAGCTGCACCAGTGTGTGAATGCCCTCGCTCCAGCACCTCAAGGCTAACCAGATACACCTGGGAGAGTTGGAGCAATTGTCAGCCCCTGCCACGTTGGTGACCAGGGAGCAGCTACTCGCCTGGGGTGGGCAGGGAGCTTCACCCCCTCTCCGTGCTCCAGAGCTGGCTGTGCCAGGCTCAGCCTGTGGCAGCGCTGGCTGAGCTGGCACAATGGGACAGTGTGACCGCTGGTGCCCTGCTGTGAGGCAGCACAGACACCTGCACCGTGCCACTCTCACCTCCTGGCACAGCCCTGCTCCCTGGCCAGAATGGGCAGAAGGTGCTCAGCACCATCAGAAAGGCAATAAACCACGAAGGGCCCTCCCTCCCTCCTTCCTGGGTATAGGTGCTGCAAGGGGGGCTGGGTCCCCCTGTAGGGAGTGAATTGTGTCAGTTCCTCTGTGGGGAGTGAATTGTGTCAGTTCCTCTGCACATTCTGTTGCTGCTCACCACAGCCTCTGCTCAGGAAGGGCTCTCTCCCCACCGGCAGCCCTGGGCGTGGGGCCTTGGCCTCACCACTTCCTCCTCCCCTGGGTTATCTGCTGGCTAGGCCTCATGTTTGTGTAGATGCAGCAGTAGCATGGGCCAGCATGCTGAGCCCCCGTTCTGCTCTTGCCACATTAAACACATTTCCAGCCTTGCTCACACCCTCGGTGTCCTCTGGCTTTGTGTGTGGGGAGGCTCCGCAGGACTCAGGGCAGGGTTCAGGGGCTCCCTGAGAGCTGAGGGCTGGCATGGTGCTGCTGAGCTGGGAGTGGGAGGGAACAGCAAACTGTCCCTGGAGAGCCAGGACACTGTGCCAGGCCCTGCACGGGCCAGCTGTGCTCCAAGGGCCAGGAGCTGTGTGCAGTGACAGAACTCTCAGCCCGGGAACAGGACAGGCTGGGAAGGGTGGCAGGGTTGCCAGGAGTGCAGGTTATCCAGCACATCCACGGAGAGGAGGTGGGTCTGAGGTGAAGCTGGGTGTCAGGGTCTGGGTTGGCAGCTCCATGGCTGGGCTGAGCAGGGCTGCAGCTGGAAACCAGCGCCCCAAGAGCAGGAGGGAGGGGACCGGGCTGGGGGACTCCTTAAATAGAGCCCTGGCCCCTCATGTGGGGAGTGGGTGGATGGTGGGGGCCAGGTCAGGCCGCTCACTGCTGTGCCTGTGGGCTGGGGGCATCAGCCCAGGGCCCCCGCCGTGTCCCATGGCATGGGCAGAGCTCCTTGGCCGCACTGGGCACCGGGCACCATCCCAGGCTGCACAGCAGGGCCTGGTGCGGGCACGGGCGGCATCCCAGCACACGGATTGCACCCTGGCACGGTGCGTTCCCCAGGACACGCGATCCGCTCAGAGGCGTGCGGTTTATTCCCAGGACAGGCCGTCCGTCCCAGGCACGCTCCCTACCCCAGCACACGCGGCCCGTGCCGGTCCCGGGGCGGGCGCTGCCCGGGGCGGTGCCCGGGGCGGTGCGGGCCGGGCGGGCGGAGCTCCGGGGCCGCGCCCCCGGGAGAGCCGGGCCCGGCGGCGGCGGCGGCGGCGCCGTCAGTGCGGCAGCGGCGGCGGCGGCGGCGGAATGGCGGAGGCGGCGGAGGGGCCGGCGCGGCGCGGGAAGCGGACGGGAGCCGAGGCCGGGGCCGCGGCGGAGGAGCCGGCGGAGGCCGAGCGGGCCGCGCGGCGGCGGCGGAGGTGGATGGCGGGGCCGGGGCCGAGGCCGCGGCCGGGACCGGGATGGGGTCCGGGACGGTGATGGGGTCCGGGACCGCGATGGGGACCCGTGGCGGGGCTGGCAGCGCCCGGTGGGCGCTGGCCGCGGTGCTGGCCCGGCCCGGCCCTCACTCACCTCCCGGGACAGCTTGCAGCCGGCGGCGGACATCCAGGGAACCACTGTCCTGCACGACACCATCAGCGACCGCCCGCAGCCCCTGCCCGGTGAGTACCGGGAGAGGCGCCGGCCCAGCCCCGGGCCCCGCCGGGATGGGACGCTGCCGGTCCCGGTGCTGGACCCAGCTGCACGGGCAGTGCTCGCTGCTGACCCTGTCCCGCCTCCCCATCGTTCCCAGCAAGGTACTTTGACACGAAGACCACGGAGCCCATCAGCTTCTTCTTGACCGGCCTGGAGGAGCTGCTGGCCTGGCAGCCCAACAGCAACGATGAGTTCAATGTGTCAGCCGTGCCCCTGGCCAAGCGGCAGCCCCCGCTCCACAGCAGCAGGCCCCGGACGCTGGTGTGCCACGACATGCGTGGCGGGTACCTGGAGGACAGGTACGTGCTAGGTGGAAGGTAAAAGGGAGGTGTGACAGTGGAACTCAGTGTCTCCAAGCCCGAGGCAGTTCTGTTTCTGTCTGGCACATCTCCTGCCGGCTCAGCCCGCAGGTGAGCAGGGATGGGGTGTTTGGCTCAGTGCTTGGGGAGCCTTGCTCAGGCTGGGATGTTCAGAGGTGGCTCAGTGCCACAACTCTGCCCAGCTCCCGGCTGTGAGTCAGGCTCCTACCCAGCTCCACAGCGTCTGTCAGCGTCCTTCCTGCACTGCCCAACCCTTTTCCTTCTGCAGGTTCATCCAGGGCTCGGCCACACGCAACCCTTATGTCTTCTACCACTGGCGCTACATCGACATCTTCGTTTACTTCAGCCACCACACCGTGACCATCCCGCCCGTGGTCTGGACCAACGCGGCGCACCGGAACAGCGTCCCCGTGCTGGGTAGGGGCAGGGCTGGCCTGGGGCAGCCCCAGCAGCGAGGTGGATTCCCCAGGACGTGCGGCTGACGCTGCCCTGGCCCCCGCAGGCACGTTCATCACGGAGTGGACAGACGGGGAGAAGCTGTGCGAGGCGTTCCTGGCCGGCGGGGAGGAGGCGTACGGCGCCGTGGCCGAGCAGCTGGCGCGCATCGCCCAGCACTACCGCTTCGATGGCTGGCTGGTCAACATCGAGAACAAGCTGAGCGTGAGTCCTGCTGGCCCTGCTGGCTGCCCTGCCTCTGTGCTGCTCCCCTGGGGAGGGAGCCCCCTGCCCCGTGCCCTCACGCCCTCATCCACCTGTGTCTCTCTCTCTCCTGGCAGGCGGCGGCCGTGGGGAACCTGCCCCTCTTCCTGCGGGACCTGACAGCACGGGTGCACAGCGCTGTGCCAGGGGGGCTGGTGATCTGGTATGACAGCGTCCTGAAGGATGGCACACTGAGGTGGCAGAACGAGCTGAATGATCAGAATAGGTGAGGATGGCAAAACTGTCCCGGGCAGGGGCACGAGCCCACCCCAAACCCAGCATGGTGGCAGTCAGGCACAACCTGCATGGCCCTTGGTGAGGCCACAGCGTCTGCCACTGTGCCCCTTGTCCCCAGGATGTTCTTTGATGCCTGTGACGGGCTGTTCACCAACTACAACTGGAAGGAGGAGCAGCTGGAGCGCTCGCAGAGGTTGGCTGGTCCACGCCTAAATGATGTCTATGTCGGCGTTGATGTCTTTGCCCGTGGAGATGTCATTGGTGGTGGCTTCGACACTGACAAGGTGGGTGTGACAGGGCTGGACCAGAGTGTGACCCTGACCTCCCCAGCACAGGGCTCTGAGCTCCCACTGAGGGCCCTGCTGGGCTGTGCTGTGTTGGGCTGCTAACCTGGGGATGAACTGGTGAGGAGTGAGGGTTCCCAGAGTGCTGGCCATGCATGAAGAAATCCCAGTGCTGCCATCCCTGGAGAGGGAGATGCTGCAGCACACCCCTCTGGTGTCCTGCCCCACCACGGGGCCAGTGGAACCTGGGGGGAGTGGGGACAGGACAGGGGACAAGGTGACCTGGCCTGGCCCATGCTGCTCACTGTCTGTTCCTGCAGTCCCTGCGCCTGATCCGCCAGTTTGGCCTCTCTGCAGCCATCTTCGCTCCTGGCTGGGTCTACGAGCACCTGGGCAAGGAAAACTTTCTGCAGAACGAGAACAGGTGAGGGGAGCTCAGCAGGGTGGCTATTGGGGGAGGAATGGGGCTCGGAGTGCCCTGGCTCAGGAGGGCTGTGGGGCGGTGGGACACAGCTGCAGGGACACTGTGGCTGTCAGAACACCATGGCTGCTGACCAGGAGCAGCTGGCTCCTTTCTGCCCCAGCTGAGGTGATACCTGAGGCCGTGCAGGGCAGTGACCATAACAGGGGTCCCTGCCCTGACACCCACCTTTGCCTCCAGGTTCTGGGGCTCGCTGGCAGAGTACCTGCCCACGCACAGCATTTGCACACTGCCCCTCACCACCTCCTTCAGCCTGGGCATGGGCACCAGCACATTCCTGGACGGGAAGGTGGGTGCAGGGTGACAGCTCTGCTCTGGTCAGACTGGGCTGGGCTGGGCTGGGCGGTCCCTGCTCTCGGCTCCCCCAGCTCGGCTCTCCCTGTGCTGTAGGATGAAGACTCTGGGCCGTGGTACGACCTGAGCGCACAGGACATCCAGCCGCTGTACCCGGAGCAGCAGGGCAGGCTGAGCACCAGCTGCTGCCTGCAGGATGCCTGGTGTGGGGGCAGCTCCCTGCAGCTGCAGGGCACCATTCCCCCCGGCGAGGAGCGCGTGGCTGTCCGGTGAGCTCGGCAAAGCCCTTTACCCCTCCTCAGCACTGGGCTGGCACCGTGTCAGCCTGACATGGCCTGCATGGCCTGAGCTGTGTGGCCCTGGGCCTGGTGGCGAGTGTGCCCAGGCTCTGCCCACACTGCCCAGCACACCTAACATGATGCACCTTTCTTTGTCTCTCTCTCTCTCTCTGTCTCTCTCTGGGTGGATCTGGGGTCATCAGCCTCTTCTCTTTGCAGATGCCAGCCCCTCCCAAGCTCTTCCTGACCCTGCTCTACAAGCTGGAGGGGCCACAGTCCGATGACTTCACAGTGGCACTGGAGGTCACCACCTGGGACTCAGGGATTTGCTTCGAGGGCAACCCCACCTCTCTTCCTGGTGAGAACCCTGTCCCCCCGTGCTCTGTGCAGGGAGCACCTGCTACATCCCTCAGCCCTGACCTGGCTCCCTCTGGCAGAGCCCAACGGCCGGTACCACCCCCGGTTCCTGCCAGCGCCGCCGCCCGGCCTCGCCAAGCTGCTCGCCGCCTGCCACCGTGGCTCCCATGGCTGGACCAGCCGGTGAGTGCCCTGCCTGCCTCCTGCATCCACAGGCAGGTGTGGGATGCCAGGGCTCCCTGATGCCATTCCTGCTCTGC